GCGACCATTGAGCTCCCACAAGATGACCACCGAATGACAATGGCATGATTGAAGTTTCAGCAGCCCGCCTCCGAGTCCTCCACATATGGTTCCTCCTCATGGAGGGAATATGACAAAAATTCTGACAGGGTCCTGCATGTGTGGGCACATCCAACCCCCATGCAGCTCCTCGGACTCACTGACCGTGTCCACCAGGTAATCTTGGTCTTCATCCGTCTCTGCCTCATCATCCGGTGAAGCAGCACCTGCCTGAGCAGGAGGAGGAGGAGGAGAGAGAAGAGAACTTGTGTAGCAACATCTCTATGTGGTCCTGGGCAGCACTTACTGACAGCCAGGTGACAGATGGCTTCAAGCTGCTTCGAGGCCCTCGAAGCGCAAGAAAAAGTGCTGAAAGTCCTCGAATTACAAGACAAGGAAAAAGCTTTTCACCAGTACTATACATGTAAAGTGTACGCGTCTCCTGTGGCTCGTCTTTCAGGCCCCTTTGAAGAATCATTGGCCTGAAAAAGTTTGGCAGCTGCCGGCAAATTCCAACTTGAATTTGACAAGACAACCTCGCCACCGGAGCAGCCAAAGGGCAACATGAATCAGCGCTGCATTGGCATGTGCAAGGTGATCAAGTTCGCTAGAGCGTCTGCCTCTGTATGACCCAATCATGGAAACAGTCTCTACCCAGCACCAACTGAGCCAAAATCTGCAAGTGGTTCTCCAAAAACTTGTGCCATGGCACCCGTGACATGTCGAGCTAGCAAGCGTCAAGCCATCGGCACCTGGATGGTTTCGCTGGCCGAGTGACTTCGCTGAACAGCCTGAGCACGTCCAGACTGTGTTTGTGAATTTTGGCTCGGCAGGCTTTTCCAGTGCTGGTGAAGCAGGCAGCCGTGTTCATTCGAGCAAATCAAGTTGTGTGCCGGAATATCCCCTCCTGGCCTGTTCGCACCGCTTCTGCACCTCGCCTGGGAATGGCTTCTGACACTTGTCAGCCAGCAGCGTGCTTGAGTAGCTTGGGGCACAAGCGTGCGGACAAGCCCACTCTCAAAGCACCCGATGACTCGAGGGATGCCTGTAGCGGTCCAGGAGCGACACTACTCCCGTTACGCGTGCACATGTCCAGACCTCCCCGCGGCTGGATGCAGCAAAGTGGATGTTACAGCCCGTGAGCCTGAGATCAACCGCATGATCGACTGCTTCGGAAGAAAGGAAGTGATCCTTCCTGATTGAAACTATGCCAACAACATATCTTGCATTGATACTCCGATAGAGATTGTGTCTCAGTCCAGTATGCAGCTGTCAGCTGTCTGAGAAGATAACAGCAGCACCAGCGCCACTCGCCAACTAGAAGATGCTGCCATCTTACCTCGGTTATATAATAGGGATAATTTGAAAAGAACATGGAAACCATTACTGTCTGATAGGGTATATATGGGGGTTATAGTAGGCAATAAGGGTATATATTGAGACTATAGAACCCCTAACCCTAAGCAGAAACCACAAAATTTGGGAAATTTTGTGAAGAGCAGGGAGAGGCGGTTGCAGCCCGGTGTGTAAATGACTTCCTGGTAGTTTCCCAAAAAGGGGGACCCCCAATATAGGCCCCAAAATACCATAAGCTTGATTATGGGGACCCCCAACATGGTACCCCTAATTTTGGCTACGACCCACTTTTTTAAGACGAGGTGCAGCTCGGCAGCCGGTGGACCCGCGCAAGGCAGGAAAGGCCTACAGAAACAGACAGGCACTTTGTAGGATAAAGCAGTCAAGCACCTGCAGTACGTGAGACCCCTGCCTGATGAAGAGTCACGGGAGGAATTTCTCAACACCCCCCGTGCTTGAGATGATAAGGAATGGACAGGCAATGCAACTACTAAAGTTCACGGATCAACAGATAGCGCACATCATCCGTGCAGCCATGACCCTGCAGCTTGCACCACCTTGCGATCAAGGCCGACACCGTCCTGCTCGCACCAGGTGCTACTGCATGCAACCAATGAGACCTGAAGGGCAACCATCAAAAAGGAGACCAGGTGTCCTACCCTTCGGCGGAACAAGGACTCAGCTCAAGGCGCGAAGGGTTCGGCGTGGCACTGCCGCCACATGTAATGATGTCTCTCAGTCGAACGTTACCCCTGCTCGTGACCAGGTGGATTTGACTATGAGCAGAATGACATGTATGCTTACATGAAGATAGGTCAAGCACAGTTCGAGATTCAGGAAGGGCCGAAGCTCCGCAGATCATTAGGTGAACATGGGAATGCCAGAACAGCAACCCAATGGGTGAGGAGGGCAACACAGGTCAGCATAAAAAGACTCGCAGTACGCAGATGACTAGCACCAGCACAAACGCCGGAGATCTTCTGCACGCAATACATCTCAGCTAGACAGGTTTGGTGATTCATTGCCGCTCACGAGCACTCCCGTCAAGTTCCTCTGTCCAGTCTTTGGAGTCTTTGAGTCTGTCAGTAAACGCCACAGGCTCTGAAGGAACCTTTCTGCTCATCCCACAATGCTTTTTTTTACAATCAGCAGACATGCAGGCCTTGTGAGCTTGTCGATGGCACCTGGCTATGCGCCAAAGAGACATACGGCTTTGGAAGCAGAAGGGGGAGGGATGTGGCTCAAACCAACACAAGTTGGCGGCCGCACCATCTTCCACATATGGGTCCTCTATGATGCCCATCAACTTAGTCAACGGGACTGGACATGCAGTAGTGCTCAAACTGCAGGAAAACTGTTCAAGCCTACAACTAAGTTGAACTGTACCTCACATTCGAAGAATCGCTGAGGTGCTCAGCTTCGTGCCAGCAACATGCCTTTGGCCCACTTTTTGCAGTCGTTGTCAGGCCATGAGAATGGCGCCGTGTCCTGCGGGAACACGGGTAGCTTAGTCCCTGTCACATGTAGATACCTGCCAAAAGTTACCTCGAAATTCTCCCGAAGTGGTTCAGTCCGTGTTAAACAGTACGCTGGCTTCAAAGCGCACACGTATCGTTCGATGTTGTGTCATCGTGTCTTGTCTTGCGCTGTGAGCTCGTGCTTGAAAGTTGAGTTATTCTGTTGTTAAAAAGGCTTACGCTCTCGAATACAACCTGCGTCTGTTGTTAAAATGGCTTACACTCTCCAATGCAACCTGCGATGCAAACACCGTTCATCACAACACCTGTTTCTGCTGTTAAGATTTGCCCACGGCGCTTTCACGCAAGCAGAGTTGGGTGGCGGTTGTCTCTTGGCAGCAGCTATCCTTGCAGTATTCCTGGACCGCCAGCGGATCTAGATTGGTCTTGTACCTCAGCTCGCGGTCTCCCTCCGGGACATGACACTGATTCAATAATCCTGGGGCTTCATTGCAACAGCAGTGGCAGGACTGATTACGGTATATCGGCAACCATAGCACCAATAACCACAGTGCGAAGGTCATGCAAAGAATGAAAGAAATCATTACAAGCTCGTGTACCATCCGCTGCGTCTTGCACTTTAGGCGACTTTACATGTGCACTCCCAAGGCCTGCACGTCCTGGAAAAAAATGTCCCTTCAGGCACATCAGGGTAGGTGTCGAACGTGTCCCATAGAATTCCCCTGCGTCAGGTGCAAGCGCGCAGCGTCGAATCGCACAATTGCACCGCGTGCTTTGCAAATGCTTGCAAACATCATCCAGTCTACGACAGCCTCATAGTGATATATGAAACAAGAACCTTTGTACCGTATTTAATGTAATGGTTTGGTGTTTTGTCTCACAATGGGGCCGAACCCTCTTGTTTTATGATCTATTTTGCGGACGCGATGATGCGGGGAGGGATGGTCATTGTCATTTCGTATGTTGAAGTGGTATTGCGTCCGACTTCTGATTCATCATGAAACCTTTTTTTGTTGAAGTGGACAGAGCTTCTTGTATCCTACACTACAGGGCAGAAGCAGCCCTTTCCATCCGGCAAAAACAGGCAATAAAGGTTCGTGCATGGACTCTACTCTATCTTTTACTTTCCAACAAATTCTTTTGGTTCTTGAAACAGACATCTTGTTGGTTCTTCGGAAAGGAATCATCTTCTCAATGCGAACCAACCAAGGCCCTCCTCTTTATCTTCGTGCAAAGTGCGAAGAATCACATCACCCCTTGAAAACCTACAAACTTCTCAAATGTTGAAACTTTAAATGCTCCGAAATCTAAAAAAACTTCCAAAACATCAAAAGTTTAGACACGTTTTAACACATATCCTCCCGAACCGCAGTGGTCACATTATCAAGAAATGTTCCTTGCACATATTACATATACATATATATATATATGATGTATTGGGAGCCTACTCCGCTAACAGTGAGAACATAATCACGGAAACACTTGAAAGCGCAGCCTCGAACTAAAATCGAGTGTCAGATACGAGTCCAGTCGACAACCCTGTCACGAAGTGAGCGCAAGTCGGGCCAACATCATGATGTATAGCACGATGCATGCCAACAGTTGGGCTAGATGGCCACAGAATTCGGCGATCTTTTTCCATCAGGAAACGTTCATGCTGCACTGGTGCAAGCCTGTACAGGCAATTTGGGAATTCGCACAAACTAGATTAGATAGAGTAACGCGCACAAATGCAAACTGCAAAGCCACGCATCAACTCCGATTTCTCGCAGGGACGAGACTTTACAATTGCGGCGCAGTTCCCCTGATGCAACGAGATACTCACACTTTCGGAACGTCAAGATGCAGTCTGTAGATTAGGAGAATGCCAACTACCCACGACGTATTGGAGATCACCCTGTAATTGCTCAGAGTTGCACACTGTAGAGTTTAAAGAGTGGCATACGTGGCGTTGACGAGCTCCTTGCTAAGATGATACACCCTGTCCAGCGTCGTGTCAAGGAGGCGTTCTTGAAAAATAGCGCAGGCTTGCCTTGTGAGCCCTTGCGGCCGCAGAAAATTCTGACGGACAGACCAAAACATGCAATCAGCACGGGAGGCACAGGCTTTTTGCAATCCGTGCCCGGGCTGTCCTCTGAGGGGGATCCCTCAGGACTGGTTGACTTGCTCTGGAGGAACTGCACCATCGAACACGGGTGTCCAGGTCTGCACAGCTTGGCATGCAGAAAGCCCTGTTTCGATGTTTGACCGTTTCACCTTTCACAACACTACAGGCAAACCAGCTCAAGATGCCAACTTTAGAAGACGGAGTCCTTCTTTCTCTGACGATTGAGGTGACTTCGAGGCGCAGAGTAGTAGAAGTAGAAGCCCTGAGCAGAACTTCTCATGAATGTTGACAAGGCTTCTGCTGTATGTCTGAAGTGATAGAAGCCAGAAAAGGATTTGTCAATCTTTCTCTCCAAGGTGCAGCTCCCATGGCCTGAACAACTCCGACTTCAATCAGCGTGAGCAAGCTCATCTGTGAAGCCAGCAAGACCTTACAATGTCAGCACCACAGGACTTGTAACGGTATGCCTGGCGGGTCTCTGCATACACTGTAGGAGCTGCTGATGCATCCAGCTGAGCGTCATTCATAAAAATGCCCAACCTTAATTGCAGAGGCACTCTTCTGAAAATAGTTGGCTTAGTCACAGCCGCAAGCCATGCAGCGGACAGCAGGATGCGCACCGAGGGACAGAGGAAACACCGGCATCAGCGGCATCCGGAACTGCGCAGTACGTTGAATCGTCTCTGCGCGAACCTTGTGTGAGTTGCTTCTCCAAAACGCGTTGTCAAAGCAAGTTGGTGGAAAAATGAATGAAAAACTGTGACAACAGTACCGTAGCAGAGGAGACAGTCGCCTATCCACAGATTTCGAAAGTTGTCTTGGAGGCTTGCTCTTTCAAACAGAAAGTGCCGCATGCACGCTCATTTGCAAGTATTGATAGGTTGAAAGCTCTGAAGCAAACAATTTGCTGTAATGGCCACGGGTGCTCTAGCTGGAGCTGTTGCCTTTGATTTGGGGTGGCAGCCCATAGTGTTGTGCATGGCAGCGGCAAGGATCATCGACTTCGCCGGCACGCCAAGAAATAGGAGCGCCAAAGAAATAGGTAATAACGAGTGACGGCGCGCGTGCGCTCTTGGCAAGCACTACTCATGACTGTTGCAGTATGCACTGCGTGTATACACATGATATTTATTCATTGTCTTCACTATTCAGGCTTTGAAGCATCTCCTACGAGAATAATGAATGCGCCCCCCGAACCCTTTATGTTGGATGACCGACGTACAATACATCTCCAAGTACACGAGGCGCCTTGCGTAGAAAGCTGGATTCCAGACTCCCACAAGAGTAACTATGAATGGCAAACTGACACACACGTGTGCAGATGGCCAGTCCCACATTGCCAGCCCCCGTGTTCTGTTTAGTGAGCATCCTGAACAAGTTCCATCTGCAAGCAGGATGAAGTGAACTCCGTTTCGCGGTTCCAGTCCAGCCAACTTTCAAGATCGGGTGTCCCTAAATACTTCCCAGATCAGCAGGATCTAGACTGAATGGTACCTGGAAATTAAAACTGATCGCACGTTCACATAGATCTGAAGAGCTAAGGCACATGTGCTCCTGCATCACGACGCACAAAGGGTGCGGCCACTATGCAAGCTGCGATCGCGATGCCGACACCAAGGCCACCCTCGTCAGAAGTGAGTACGTATCTGCTGGTAAAGTCATCAGTCAAGTCAGTCTTGCAGAAAAATGGAATGAACACACAGACTTACTCTGTTTTGGGAAAGCCTTTTCAGCGCCGTCAGAAACCATACAGCAAAGTCCACACAGCCTAGCTCGCACATGCTTACATGCTCGCACAAAGGCGCCCATAAATAAAGCTGAACCTGCTTTGCTCAAGTGCCCGGCGATTATGATAACCATGACCATTCTACTCATGCTTATCTCCATCAGCATCCACCTAGCCACCATCCAACACCAGCCACTCCCATTTCTACAATGCTGCAATTGTGAACTCACACGTGCAACATGTCCATCGTAATTGTCGAGGTTACAGACCCTCGAAACCTGTGTTGCAGGATGGATACCAGGTCCATGTTCCACAAGTCTGTCAGGATCACAATGACGCATCAAGAAATTCCAGGTGAACGTGTCCACATCTAAAACAGGCGTGGCTGTAATGAATATTAACTGCTGCAGCCGTGGAGCAATGAGCACTTTACCAAACCATGCCTTAGCTGCACGACTGCTGAGTCCAGGAAATTCAATCAGGTGTCTACTGCAGCCGAGGCACATTTTCATCCAGAGGCAGTTTCACGAGGATACCCAAGATAAATGTAAAAATCACGAAGCTGACCAAGCCTGGCGCCCAGAAATCTTGCTCTTTCTTCTTTGCCAGTGCCATCAACCCATGCAAGTTAGCGCTTGAACTTGTCGCATGCTGGGCTGGAAATCTGCTCAGCAAACAAGAACAGCACAGCAGTCTGCATGATGAACCCACAGCTCCTGCCTAGAACCACCTTGGCTTCAACTGGGTTGCTGTTAAGGACCTTAAATTAAGTTACCAAAATGGGTACATGTAGCAATTAATAGGGTTTCCCAGTATAGTAACTTAAAACTAAGTTCCTTAACAGCAACCCAGTCAACTCAAAAGCATAACGGCAGAGAGATCCGATGCAAAGGAGACAGGCTGCAGCTGAACGTGCTTGCAGTAAACAGGGCAAGCATGAGACAGCTACCCAGGCCCCCGCCTAAAGGATCCAAAGGATGGAATCCGCTTGTAATCCGCCACTTTCCCCCAGGTAGTAATGGGTTCATATTGCGAGGGGGGGGGTCCATTTTTTAGATCCTTTAGGAGGTCTGGGCATGCTCTTCTCCAGTGCAAGCAAGCGGCAGACTTGGGAGCATGCGCGTGTGCCTTCACGACTTCGCAGTTGTTGTCATCTTCTTCCGTGTTCCCTGACTCATCCCTTTGCGATGAACCTTCGGTTCACAGAAGCCGCGCCCCTTCACCAAGACTGCTGATTGCGCGACATGTCAACAGCTGAAATGCCATGGCACCTGAGTCCCAAGTGCATGGGCAGCGAAGCAGGATCAGCGAGGCGCATACCAGGGCAAAGGTTCCTGGAACATTATTACTATCACTATTACTATTATTATTACTATTCCTATTATTACCATTATTATTACTACTAAAAATATTATTACTATTATACAGAAATCCAGAAGCGTGTGGCAACCTATTGGACAATGTGCAACCAATGTCCTAGTGCTCCAGCGGACACCACGTCTGCGATGGCAGTGAAATCGAACAAAGCTGCAATAACCACAGCAGGGCCTGCCATTACCTGAACCAGCGACACAGGTCAGAAACTGCAGACTGATGACCCTTCTAACATTTTCAAAACGTCCAAAGTGCGAAAGTTGGCTAATCTAGTCGGGTATCCAGCAGGGAACGTCCGGGGGCTCCAAAACGGTTGAGCCGAACAAGTGTAGCTGGCAATAGCCCATCCTGTGCCATGGATAAACAGTAACGCGGGTTGGCAACGATTGCACCTATGACAGTAGTCAAGGTGTTTCCGACTGCCCCAATTGACACCAAGAGTGCCAAGATGGGAAGATCCCTCTGCTCAGCAGCGCGCGCCAGGGGGGCTGTCATGTCTACTTCCGTGTAGTCCACCAGCCCAGTGAAGACTGCACCAACACCACAGTAGATAGCGGTGCTGATAAACAGTGTCAGCACAATGCCACAGGGAACAACCTTCTCATTGACGGATTCAGCGCCCAGCGTCGCAAGCACATCGAAGCCAAGGTAAGAAAAGAAGACCGAGCCGGCACCTTTGGCAATGCCTAGACTACCATGTGGAGCGTATGGGTCCCACAAGGTTGGGTCAAAATGCGTGGCACCACCGAAGATGTAGACCAGGAGCAGTGTTACGGATATGAACGTGACCACGTTGTTGAAAGTTGAGATGGCCAACGTTCCGCACAGATTAATGGCAACCACCGCCCCAATCAGAACAGGAGCGAGGAAAGATACCTGTAGAGGTCCCCAGCTGAATCCTTCCATAAATGCCGGTGGATTGACACCCGTCGATATGAGAAGAAGACGCATGTAGCCTTCCCAGCCACGAGCCACAGCCGCACTTGACAAAACTGAATTCACGATGTTTGTCAGACCAACCATGCATGCTGGAAGCTCTCCTTGGATTTCGCAACAGTTTTCACCTCAAATTAAGTAAAGCAACCAGAGGGGTGGTCACCTTCTTCAAAAAACTATTGGAGCAAGCAACTAAGCATGAGCTGCGCACTAGTCACTGGTGGTTAAACTCTGAACAAATGAAATCCCAATCTTTGAGGGAAGAAAGGTAGGCTGTTGCCGCAGTCTCCCCTAAACTTTCAATCCCAAGACCTCAGGCCCTCAGCCCAGATTTCTTTGAGCTTTTACTTTGAGATCGAGATGCCGGCCGCGTGGTAGACGAAAGTGTAAGAGCTGCCGGAAGATGGAACCAGAGCCGCGAGCTCGGCATAGCAAAGGCCTTCCGCAGTAATTAGCAGCAGGAGCCGTGGCACTAGTGGTGGTGGTAGTAATAGTAGTAGCAGTAGCAGTAATCGTACTAGTAGTAGTAATAATAATGATAGTAGTGGTAGTGGTAATATTACTACTACTACTACTACTACTACTATTACTACTACCACTACCACCCTCAAACCCCCACCTTCGCCGTCAGGTGAACATTCGTGCTAGCTTTCCGTTCGCTTTTCAAGAGCGTTCGTGTTCCAAGAGCATACGGTGACCAGAGCTTTCAGACAAGCAGGTTCCAGAGGCGACCTGGCTGTGTCCCTGCGCGCGTGCTTCAACCCGAAGTGCTCAAAACGAAGGACCTTTCGAGAGCTGCGCTGTCCTCAACATTAGATGTTTGTAATCCCGCAAAAACTCGGGGTTTTTGCGCATAGAGCCCCTCAAAACTTTAGACTTCAATGTGGCCGAAATCCCACGCCCACCAGTATTCCGCGATAGGCGACGGCAAACCTGGGGTTCTCGGCTAGTACTAGTAGTAGTAGTAGTAGTAGTAGTACCACTACCACTGCACTACCACCACCACTACTATTATTATTAGTATTACTAGTACTACTACTACTACTACTACTAGTACTGGTACTGGTACTGGTACTAGTACTGGTAGTAGTAGTAGTAGTAGCAGCAGCAGCAGCAGTAGTAGTAGTAGTAGTAATAAGAAGAATAATAGTGGTGATGGTAGTAGTAGTGGTAGTAGTAGTAATAATAATAATAATTAGTAGCAGAACAACCCGCGACGAGCGTGGTTGGCCCAAAGACTCCTCAGGGTTTGGGGGCGTTGAGGGTTTGAGGTCGTTTAGAATTGTTTAGGGTATTGGGTCACTCAGGGTTGTTTAGCGTTCAGGGTTGTTTAGGTTGTAAGTATCTTAGGGTTGGGAATTCTAGGTGTCGGGATGATTTAGGTTTTCAACTTGCTTAAGGTTTTGAAGGGATGGACACATAAATGAAGCTGCGAAACAAAATTGTAAAGGCTTGTCAGGTGGTTTTTAGCGTGTAGGCCTAAAAAACCGGCAGGGACGAGTGAATTGTAGCATACCCGTTGTAAGCCTGGTCCTCTGGGCCAAGGTCTCGGTTGCTCGTAGTAGCAATGGCAGTACAAGTAGCAGTAGCAGCAGCCGTAGCGGCAGCGGCACCGGTGCCGGTGCCAGTGATGTTGCGGCGTCGGCGGTGGTGGTGCTGGCAGCGGCGTCGGCGGCGGCGGTGGTGGTGCTGGCAGCGGCGGCGGCGGCGGCGGCGGTGGCGGTGCCCCGAGGCACCATTTCTTCACTTGACTCCCTCACGACCGCAAGCGTTTACTACGCCCAACCTGTGCAGCTGCAGCCCACAGCTGCGATCAGAAATGACAACGTCACAGCCTCAAGTATCATGGATATGACGCCGACGTTTCCACAAGTGTAGTAGAGCGTAAAGAGACCTGTTGATTACTGCGGCTCTGCTGCTGGGCCAGCTTCTTGTGCCGCCTTCCCAGTTGCCATGAAGACACCGGCTCCAACAGTCACGCCCAAGCCAAAGCCAACGGCATCACGGGTCCTGAACCACAGCTGAGAACAGGGCGGGCACGAGATCAGCATGGTCAAGGGCATTTGCATTTTCGCGTAAACAGCTCTAGAGAGAGAGAAGTTACGCTGCTAACTCAGCTTTTCACTTTGAAGGACAATCGGTCAGGGCAAGCTGTAAATCTTCATTCTTTTGCCTACAGGCCAATGCTACTGAATCTTAGCCTCTACGTGCATGATCTGCTGCCATGCCAAAGACATGAAGCAAAGCAGAGATCCTGTCCTGAGGACCTTTGGAAGGCCATGAGACTCGTCACCTTCCTCAGTAAAGAACTGCACAGCCCATGGCAAACATGACGGGAATAAAAAGGACTCGAAAACTATTGTAGCGATTTGAGCATAAAGGAATGCAGGCTTACATGTTTCGTCCCAGAGTCTGGGAGCGGCTTGGTTCGGGAGGCTTGGGAAAGAGCCTTCCCCATTTCCCGCGTGTGCCGCCTGAGTTGGAGCATGTTCCTACAGTCGACACTTGGCAGCTGTCAGGCTTTCAGGGCATCAACTCTGTGCACCCAAGTTGCTTGGCAATGCCAGATTTGCCATCCTTTCCCTCATGCATGGCTCTGAATGAAGCTTCCAAATTATCAAAAGCAGAAATGCGTGCATGTGAGATGATGTGTTTTCTGGGTCACCTTTGAAAAGAAGGTACTTGAAACTGCTTGAGCAAACACCAAAATGCAGGTGCGAAGGCGAAAAAAGCTCATGCGAAGGCTCAAAGCAAATCCTGAGGCTGCCTTCCTCATCACCACCAAGACAACGTCAACCAGCCTTTGTGAAGAGGATGAAGCCATGATGCTTCAACGGGATGAGCCCGTACCTTGATTCAGGCGGCATTCTTTGCAAGGATGCACTCGCACTGTGCTTCTAAACTCTGCCAGCTCTCAGATCTCCACAAATTCCAGGAGTTTATGCAGTAGGTGACCTCCGTAATGCGAAGCCCTCGATTGCAAAGTCCTTGAAGATACCTCGTGGACCAACAAAGGCCAACATGAAGACGCGACAACTGTCTCGGACCCTTTGTCTTGCAGACTGGCTGCCGGAGCAGGCCGTCAAGGTCAGTACTTGGGATGCTAAATTCAGAGACCTCCTGTGCCACACAACATCCAATAGTCCTAACTACTACCACCACCACCACCACCACCACCACCACCAACAACGACAACACGATCACCACCACTGCCGCCGTCACCGCCAACCTTGATTCGCTTTACAGTTGGAGTTGTTCAATTCGCTCACGGCACTGCTCTCCTCTGCATCGCTGCCACGCCGTTCCTGTCGAAAACAAGCCACCCCAAACAGTTCAAAACACTAGAATGGAAAGGTCGACAATGTCCCTAGGGCATGCAAGTGACATGCGGAATCTCGGCTTTTTTTTTGCGGTCTCTTCCTTCATTTAGGGGTCAGAGCTTTCTCCCATCCTTGCACATTTCGAAGCCCCTCAATTAATCCCAATAGCACTGAACATCTGGGTGGCTGACAGTTGAAATACCGGACTGGCTTGATCGTGAGGTGGACCTTCAGAGGACTGACCATCTCAACAAGTGAGAGCTTCAGTGCATGCCTATTGCAAGAAATTGAGGAAACCTGCGTGCTGCGAGTGCTAATGCCAGCACATTCGGCTGAGGAAGCGGCTGTGCTTGTGCCTGACCAGAAGCGCGCGCTTTCCGGTCAGGACCGCCACATCCAACCAAGGCTGAGATGGTGGAGGTCGTCGCGGTGCCTTGGATTGGACCTTAAATTAAGTTACCATAATGGGTATATATGGTAAATAATAGGGTTTCCCCAATATAGTAACTTAATTTAAGTTCCGCATGTGCAAATGCTGAGTGGGGCTCCATTCCATCATTGCATCCAGACAAGCCAACTAAAAAAATGGCGTTGATTGGACTGTGGCCTCGAGAACTTATTCAAAAATGACAGCCCACAAGAGCCACAACTAAGCTTCATGAAAAAATCCAAAATCATGCGAGGAGAAACAATGTTGGCTACCTCGATTTCTGTAAGGGCTCTCCCTTTTTATTCCTCCGCACTTTGCACTGGATTAGAAGAACTTTGCTATGACTACCACTACTGCCACCACTACCACTACAACCAAACAACAACAACGACTACTACTCCTGCTACTGCCAGTGCTACTGCAACTGCTACGGCTACTGCTACTGCTGCTTCCCCTCTTCCTAGTCTACTGGTAGCTGTTGTTGAGGTCTCGGCTTCGCGGTGGACTGCTAATCAGCCTGCTGCGCAACTTGCATCATCCCCTCCCCCCGTTTATGATGGGTATGCGTTTCAGGGTGTTTAGTATCGACGGTAGTGGGTTGGATTGGATACGTGGGATCCATTCCTGTGACTACGCCTGTTGCCTCCAAAACTATGTTTGCGAGCACGCTCGCCAGCATTGTGATTATTGCCATGATGAAAGCACATCATGCCGTATCTAGGATCTACGGGATTTCAAGATTTTATGACCTGAGCCCAACATCCAAGCATGTCAGGCTGCTCAATCATTTGACGACAAGCAAACTGAAGTTCTAGCTAAGTTGTCAGACATCCAGGGTTGTGCCAGTCCCAAATCAAGACGACAAAGAACCCACTACCTGACTTTGTGAGATGACCTGGGAGCCAAGATTGCACATTATGTGGGTCTCAACAAGAAATTGCCTGGTCGTGCAAGACTCTGCTACGCTGAAGAAAAATTGAGTGAGAAGCCTGAAACCATCGCAAGAGAATCTTTCGCAAAAAGAGCGCCCTTTTTCAGTTTCGGGATGCAATCAGAATGAATGTATGATTCCCGAGAAATGGGATGCGCTCGTCAAATGTCTGGGCAAAAAGGAATTTGAGCCGAATTGGATTACGCAGCATGTGGCCTTGAAATCTTGACTGGGCTTCGAACTTGATATACTTGAACATGTAATCTCACGCATAAGTATATGTATGAATGTTAATCAAACTGGCGAAGATCCCAAATAGTATGCATGGAATTTGATTGGCGTCATTGACGAGGCATTTTTTGGGCAGATCAGCACATGTGTGAGTGTAATTGTGCTGTGTAGGTCGGAGGCCCCCAAGTATTTCCGCGTGCACTCCAGCACTTTGAAATAAACTGAAACAATTTTGCTGTTTTGATGACATCCATTCAAGATTCATTCCTTAAATGCCCAGTAGATACTTACTGATGTCGAAGTACGCACCACGTCTACTAGGGCAGCAATAAAATTCCCTCCGTTCGACGTAAATATGTTCCGTTCGACGCAAATGTGTTCAGCGTGTTTCCCGCGTGTACGATTGGCAAGGAGACTGTCGAGATTAAAGTGCCACCACAAGCACGGCAATCGCAGAACATGCTTGCAATGTCCACAGTCACATCAAATCTGATTTTTAGCATCGAGGACGAGTGGGCTTTTTAGGCAAGCAAGGGAAAGTTCAGGGGCTGTCGCAGGGAAAACTTCAGCAAATCTTATGGTTACGATAAGCATATCCAAGTCATTCCCATCTGAACTTCAATTCAAAAATATTCTAAACACAAGTTTTCGGCATAACCAGAAACAGTAATGCTTGCAAGCAGCACTAAAACATACTAAATTTCAGGAAAGTTTTCACTCGGAACATATGCATGAACTGTTGGCTGCCGAACATCCCGTCTTTGAAACGGGGAACATCTTCCAGTCTTGTAGGCAGCCGCAAATTTCAAGAAGGTTTCTGCACAGAGAACTTTCTGAATTTTCTGCGAACAGGTCAACAATGAAATCAGAATGAAAACCATGACATTTACATGTGTACCTCCAACTGAAATACAAGTTTGCTAAACAACAAGCACGTTCATCTTTGCAAGCAGCAGAAAATTTTGGGAACTTTTCCGCACCACAAGTGTTCAGTATGTGTAAAGTATACCGCACGAGTACTAACAACAAACGCATGCTCTGGAAAAAACATTCTTTCAGACGACAAACATTGCCCATCTTGGCATTATCTTGGCCAACAACAAAAGTTCCAACAAGTTTCGGATAATTTTCCTGACGGCGAGCAGAAGCATGTTCATACATTTATTGGTATGCCGCCGCCATCTCGTCGGCGATCTGCCGCTGCAGTTCGTTGTGTTTCGGGACGATGGTGGCGGCGCGCTCGGCGAAGTCGTCCACGTCCTCGTGGGGCTCCGGGCCGGGAAGCGGCTGCAGCGCCGTTGGGGGCTGCTTCTGCATGATCTGCAGCGGCCGGTATGCCGAAGTGGCCAAGGAGGCGTCGATGTTGGGATCCCTGAAGGGCGGCGGCGGCGCCTTAGCCATTGGCTTTATCTTCGGCAGCGGCGGGATCACTGTCGACGGTGGCGACTTAGCACCCGTCAGGCTGGTGGAGGGAGAGGTAGTAAACGCCGAGGTCGTGCCAACGGCGCCGCCATCGCCAACCACCGGGGCCGCCGTAGTCGGTGGCGAGGATGTTGTAGGTGCCGAGGTCGTACTGCCACCGCCGCCACCGCCACCAGCGCCATTGAGGCCACCATCTGCTGCTGCCGGGTCGCCGAGGTCCGGGCCCATGCTGCTGTTGACGTCAAAGTCAGATGACGGTCGGTGGGTCGCCGACCGGGAACTGCGGTGGCCCGAACGTGAGCACCTCGTCGCCGGCAACGGTTGTAGGCGCCGGTGACCCTTCGCTTTCCTGCATCGCCGAACGGTCGGCGTTGTCGAGGGTGGGCGGAGCCATCCACGCTGCCGCTGTAGACGTCGAGGAGGGTTCGATCGTCGTCCCCTTACGACGCCGAACCGGCGTAGATGTGGAAGCCGCCGAAGTGGTGTCAACTGCCGCGACGGCCGGCGCCACCGCCGCTTGAAGTTCTGGGCTCCACGAGCCCACCTCGTCGGCCGGAAGCGCCGCCAGGACCTCCGCCACATTGGTCGCCGAAGATGGCAAAGACGACGTCGGGGTAGTTGCCATGACCGACGACGGCGAAGGGAGGCGAAAGGCGCAAGGAAGCCAAAATGGCCGACGGGCCGGGAAGTTTGTCAGCGCGAACGACTTGTAGAAGCTCTCCGTGAGCAGTTCATTCGGACTTGCAGCACACAACTTGAACCAGGATTTTTGGGATGCCAACTTTCTGGACCTGTGGCCCATCCAAACGAACCCGGATCCATCCAAACCAGGATCCATGAAGAGAGCCATGAAAGAAGCCAACTTTGCACACCAGCAGGCCATAGGGTTCCATGAAGAGTCATTTGAGCCTCGTAGTATTCCCCTGACTAAGGCCTATAACAGTACCCTATACAATCCTCCATGTAATCCCCCCTTTCTGGAGTTTAGACTATAGCTCATATGGGAACATAGAGGGTTTGGGAGTAATGCCCCAAGAACCGACAATCAAATTTAAAAAAATGGAAAATGAAATAGAAACCAGAAATGTATAGTGTTCAGCCAAACATGCGGCTCCATGGCCAACCCATTTGAACTGCCGCGGCTCAACTTTTTGCCGAAAGTCCACAAACCATACTGGCTGGTGAAGTGTATGTTATATCAGTCTACTACATACACGCATGTACAGTATACATATGTGCACTAAATACCTCTCCCTCCCAAATATTCCGCTGCGGCGACCTAGATTCTTCTGGCTTTACCAACGACGCTTGAGTGCCTCTGCTGCTGTTGCTGCTGCGGGCGAGGACTTTGCGCACCTGCGCGCATTGGGCACGCATCATATGAGCTCACATGCTTTGTCTGCGTGCGGCGGGAGTGGGCTGGAAAAGGAATGGCAAACAGACCAGCCTTCGAAGCCAGCCTTACTTGTACGAAATGCTCCTGCTGACATGCGCGAGATGCTCATGAACTGCTTTTCTTCAAGTTTCCGGCAACTCGCTGAGCACGGCTTTGCACCACCTTGCCACAACAGCTGGAGAGATGTCCATCTGCTTTTTACTGACAACGTGCTGTGCTGTGCTGTTTCTAATCTGCAGCTGGGGAGCGACCGCCTTAGGCGGTTGAGGCAGATGATACGACGTCGGATTCCTCAAGCTGCTTTCTCGATGGTTGGGAAAGGGCTGGGCGAAGAAGTTCAGAGGAGGGGGAAGGAGGGCGGGCAGGCCCAATGCCGGGAAAGAATGCGCACAAGAAACAACAGAAAACTATCTATCCGAAATCAATCAAGGAAATGCAGCCTCACTGCGCAAAAAAGCAAACAAACGGAATGATGTTGAGCTGAATTACGGACACCCTGCCGGTCGGCAGGCTGCTGGCTGACGCCCCTCATTGCTTCCTATGCTCTAAGGCTATGACGGCTCAACCAGCTTCGGCTTCTGTGGAGAGGTCATCGGCGCCATGGCCTCTGTGGTGCAGAGCTGGTGTGATTTGAAAAATCAAGGGGCTGAATACCTCAGGCCGATGCGTGCAAACCATTGCTACACCACGTGACCTTGGCAGTTTGGTGCCACCAACACTGCTGCCAACGTACATGGCAGTTGAAAGCAAACACATTGGCAGGGGATTCAAGTCGGACAAGGTGCGGCTGACCAGGCACGTGGTAGCTGGCCGGCTGATGGAACCCTTACCACATCGCAGCAAATGTACCACTCCGATTCATCAAGAGCAACGACTACATCTGCGAGGCTAGATTCCCATTGATTTCTGAGCCTCCGACAATAATCTGGCATGAGTTCGAGGAGTCCCGGAGTCCACTTCGGGTGAATGGGCACGCCAACCTGGCGCCGTCATGCAACTCTCCTAAATTCTGCTTTTGATGCCGGAGCAAGAGCAGCCCACAGCCCAACATGTCTATAAGTACGCTTGGTGTCCCACTCTCTGTTGTGCACAGCCAGATTGCGTGAATGGCACTATGCCCAACAGGCCACTAGCACGCCGACGTGTTCCAGACTCCAAGTACGTGGTTGCCTCCAGCCAGGCTGAAAGGTCAAAGCCAGAAGGTTACGAAATCAAATCCATCGCCTGTCTCAACATCTGGTCATGGCTGATGCTGGAATAGGCCCGCGGGAAGGCTGGCCTGTCGCCAGGAATATGTCGCAACAGCTGTTAGGCTCCTAGAACAGAACGGCTTTCCAACTGGAACCAACTGAGTTGTCACAGCATTTTTGCTCACAGCCGTTGCCGCAAGTGGCAGGGTGGATGTTCGCAGTCCACAGGAGGTGCCATCCAGCCAAGCAGCTTGACGAACAGAGCTTGGCTTGAGCGCCTTCTGACTGCAGAGCCTGGAAGTAGTCCATTTAGGAGAGTCCAAGCCCCAACGTGTCGCATCGTGTCGCTGATGCCGTTCGTGCGTGGGCTAGGCTGTTGGGCAAGCTCGCCCTTCCACTGTTCATGGCGGTTGCGTTCACGTACTCCTTGTACATCAACTCCCCTTGGTCTCTTTGCCTTAGCTCAAGGCTTCAACAAATTACATGACCGTGTGTGTGCGGTCCCCTGGCCTCCACGACAGAACCGAAGCGGGCGGATGGCCAGCAAAACCTGATGAGAAGGCTACGTGCCTGGTTTGAGACTTTGCGCTTCGGGCCCAGGAATCAGTCCGAGCGACAAGACAGATCGCAAAGACGGAGACGCCCAAAAGGCCCTGGGCCACGGGACCTGCAGTCGAGCGCAGCAGCTGTTCTCTCAAACTTCTGTTCAACGGTCAAAAAAGACTTGTCTGGCTGATGGCACAACACCCCCAGCCTAGTATGAAAGGTGCTCCTGTTCATGGATTCCAGAGTATTGGGGGGCCGTGATGCAAATGATCCGACCCTTTGCCGTCGTAGTGCTAGTGAGCATATGTAAAGAAGCGCTCGAACGCGCTGGTCCTGCGCTGCCTTGCCACCTGAATGACAGGTATGTTGAACGCAGCGCAGCAGAGATGTGGGCTGACGCTCAGTCCGTGACTCCTGGCTCCAATACTCGGTGCCTGAGCAAGGCTTCACTGGGAAAAGCTGATCAGAAGTTGGCTTTCCAGAGGTCCGGGCGAAGGTGTGCCAACACCGCTGCTTCGTGGAAGTGCGCTGAGCCGTGGTTACTGCAGCGCCAGTTTGTCAAATCACTGCACTGCGAAACATGCGAATAGGCGCTCCTTTGTTTACTGCAACTGGGCTCGCACTACGTTGACAATGGGGCTGGCTGAGAACACATTCAAATGATGGAAGCAGCTTGAGACACGGCTTACCAAATCAAGCCGTTGAGCAAAACTACACGTGACACATGGTGAATGCCATGTTACTTCCACCCAAGCACAGAGCAGCATTAGCAAATCGGGCAGCAAGACTCAGGCACTCACGGGCGTGAGTGCTGAAGCCTGCAATCTTTGCAGTCCTGCATTTGTGTACGCATTTGCGAGGCGGGGTGACAAGCGTGATGTCAATCGCTACTTCCTACTGCCGCGGGCACTGAAGACGCACAAAGAGTTGTTGTTCTTGGGTCCTCCAAAGCTGGCCAAAGATTTGGCATCGGACCTCACCAATCAACTACACATGCCCTCCACGACTCGCGACTACAACGCGGCTTGATGTGTTCCAAGGGCTACCTCACACTATGGCACCATGCAGGTCACAGCATAGTGCCGACAACACCGGCTGCCAAATCTGCAGCAATTTGGCTGAGTTTCGGTTGTTCTCAGCTGCTACCCGCAGGGTGACGTCGTTGTGCATCTGACCGTGCAACGCAGTGGCCGCATGATGCCAAAACTAAGCTTATATAAAAGCTCTATGATGCTTGGCACGTTCCACATCACCACATCCCAGCCTTCCACAGCCAGAGTGCTGCGCCGGCATCGTCATCAGCCCTAAGGTGGCAATGGTCAAACCTCGATTTCAAGCAACACATTAGGCTCTAGCAACGCCTCCCTCTACCTGTCAGACGCTCGAGAAGCTCTAGTCTCAGATCGCGTCTTGCAGGAGTCGAAAGCCTACTGGCTACTCAAGTTCAGCTCAGGCAATTGTGAAGGTGACCCTGCCCAGCCTCCAGAAAATGCTCACGGCACTGCTGGCAGCCAAAAAAATGAGACACAAAACCGCGGATGCGCGTCAGCAGCTCCTGGTAAGACAGCTGGTACGAAACTTGCTCCAAACATGTGCCATGACGGCTGAAGCGATTTGTCCTGCCCAGCTATCTCGGGCTGAATACCTCGGGCCTGATCTGAATTAAAGCTCCGTCTCTGGACGAGGTGAGGGACACACCCCTATGCAAACAGGCCTGGCTCAGTATGTGAAAAAGGGTCCACAGTCCGCACGTGAAACCTTCCGTGGCAAGAGCCCAAAGATCGCAGGACGAGATACAACATCGCAAGCGGCCTTTGCAGCGTCGCCAGTAAGCATCTGGCTTGATGCCAGCCTGCTTTGCGTGCTCCATGCCCACGTCCAATAGAAGCGCAAGTAAGAATATGAGCAAGACAGCTGAGATGCCTCCGGAGGTGCTCTGTCCAGCCCATGCTTCGCAAGGAGTTTCTGGAAATCGGACACAGAGAGCCTCGAGAAATTCTTTCTGATTTGGCCCCGCAGCTCTGCTCCTGCTGTGGACACGACGCGTCCCCCGTGGCAGAAGAGCTAATAGCCTGTCATGCACCGCAAGGGACCCATTCGCACGTCTGCGCAGGCACGGCAACTCGGTGTTGAGCAAGAGGTGCCTCACGGGTCTTTTCAGCCAATGCCTTGAGATCGCGCTGGCCAGAGCCTGAAAGGACAAGTGTCTTGTGTAAGCCAACAAGAGAGGCCACTATCCAGGCCTGGCAAACGGCCACCAAGGAAGTCCAGCCAACCTCTCAAAGATTCAACTTTGCCAGAAATTCCCTCGCAGTGCATATATAGATGAGCGTCGCAGGAGTTCACCCAAATTGTCGCCTGTAAGCTTTCCATCCTCACTGCCTGGTCAGATGAAGGCATGCGTAACCCCAAAGCATGGACACTCAGCACGGAGAAGTCATTTGCTCAGGTTGGGAGCCTTTCAGAAAGGCACCCTGGCTGAGAGAATACAAGATTGCAACCTTGGTCAGCAAAGAAAAACCACAGACTCACGTCAACAATGCTTCAAACAGTTCCTTGCCTCCGCATCAACCAAATGAAGAGCCGGAAGAGCATCTCGCAGAACCTCTTTGGCTTTCGGAGCTCTTCCCAAACATGAGGAGGCTGAACACACTTCGAGCGAGGGCTCTGGTCTACGAATTCTAAGCGCGAAGATCTTGGAACCACCAGAAAGGACTTTCATGGGAGTTCGACTGCCAACCTCTCTCTGATGAAGGACGCTGTCAGCTGCGATCGACGTGGCAGGAGCCTGGCATCCCAACCAGTCCAGGCCAGGATTTGAGTCACGGCCGTGGTTGAAGCGCCTCGCTGCTCCGCATACCACGCACGCCTCCCGAAATGGGACATGGTATGGACACCGAGCTGAGGTCGTTCAGGAAACCCCTGCAAGGCCTGGCTTGCTCGACGATGATGCAGGCAATGCTGGCACCTCTAAGGAGCTCCCTTTTAAACGGCATGAGGATATCACTTGCATCAGGATCCTTGGGGAGCAAAAAGTCCAACGCTCAAAGTAATTAGCCCTGAAGGGCACGAGGCACCGTATGCAGACCCAGCACGGTGAGATTGGCCTTAGTAGCCACTCACTACTTCACTCATGAAGACGAGATCGTTTGCGCTCAACAGGCCTCAACATGCGACATTCCAAGGCTCAGGTCTTCACCGTCTCCGCCCCGGACTTGGAAGGCATGTTCTTCCGTATCCAGGCCTTGGACACAAACTTCGAAATTCATGTCCAGCTTCATCTTTAGCCGCTCTCGGATCTTCCATGCGAGCCACTCCCTGCAAGTAGGCCTCTGGCAGTGAAGTCCTGCTCAGAATGAACAATCTTCCTGTCCTTTGTGACACGACATCAAAGAAAAAGGATTCGTCAAGCCTCCTGCAGCAGGTTGGTATATCATCCAAAAACCAGGGGACTCTCAAGAAGTATACACGAAGTGCAAGGCATTCCGTGCGCAAGGATCCACCTTCCGCAAAACCTATCCTTTCAACGACTGTTCGTGCAACCTGCGGCCAGGCGGCAGGAGTCTTGCCTCCCAGAGGTGAGCCTGTATCACCTGCAAGCTTCAGCTCTGTGACCCAGGATCCGTACCAAAAAGAAAGAATGCAATAACGTGCAACACGAAAATCACAAGTAGACTTGAGAAAGCAAACCAAAATAAGGAAACATGACAACGATATGCAGGGACCTTTGAAGTGGTAGGTCCGCACACTCGGGTAGCCAGTGATCTGGATCTTCATGCAAAAGGCCAGGAAGTCCGGACAGTTCAACTGAGTTTGGCAGACTCCGTTGCACCCAGCCAGAAGACCGTGAGAGAGCAAACCAGGCGCTTCATTACCGCTGCGGCTCATGAGTGCCTACTTTCAAGAAGAATCAGGACTATGCCGAGTGTCAGCGCCAAAGCGCACCTAGGTGTGGTCTGCTCTGTCTCAGATTAAGGCAAATACGTGGACTTGAGCTTGGGACGGACCCTTGATGTAGAGGCGACACCGCACCAGAAATCCTACCATTGCTGGAGGGCTGTGCTGCATGTGGTGCAGATGCTGCAGAAGGCCAGCGCAGAATGCCAGCCTCTCAAATGTTGGCGCGTAGTGGTGACAGTGTGGACACCAATCGGCATAGTACATCACCACCCATGGGCTCCTTGCTTGCTGCTAAGGAATTGGTAAGTTAACACTCGACGACTTGCTTATAATGGTGGCTACACAGCATGATGTACCGCAATAGCCGAAGCCATATAAGCAATGAATTGCATTGTCCCCTTCAAAGCGACACCCTTCCAGGGCTCCTGGAAGTTGCAATCTCCGACTCCACTTTCGTGGCATCGAGCCTGCACCCGTATTTTTGAATCTCAAGTTCAGGGTATGCCCTGCACCTGAAGATTCTCAAAGGTCACATAACAGGGGAACTCTGGGAAGATGCTCTTGCAAGATCTTACAGCATCTCTGCAGTTGAGCCACTCATAAACATTCCTGAGCTCAAAATACAAAGACCGAACAGAGCATGCATGAAAGGCTGCTCGAGCGGCTTCCGGTCCATATTTCTTTCAATATGTTGTAGGCAGCACTGCAACCTGTCTCGAGGTTATGGAGAATTTTGAGGCTCACGGGTTGGTGCTGGATAGTTCCAAAAATACGCATGCTGGGTCCGACCCTACTGAAACCGTGTTGAGAGTACATAGCTGATGTGAGCCCAGCTTCTTCGAAGTGTGGAACAAGTTCTTGACACCTGCTGCTGCGATGACTTGGAAGCCGAAAAGGTGCACCTGAGTTCAACCCAATTGAAAAGATGCAAACATGCAGGTGATGCAAAGAGACGCAGTCGGAATGCATAGCTGAGTATGTGTGGCACGAAGAACATATGCAGAAAGACAACATTGCGAGGAAACATTGCAACAGACTCAGACCATCGCCAGCAACAGTTCGGCTTGAAGATAAGCCATAGGGTCTTGAGCATCTCATGCTCAGCTACAAGACGTTCAGCTATCGTCTGCGAGCACGTTGTCAGCGGCTCTTAAGATTCAAAGGCAAGATAATGTTCCTGGGGTCAACGAATTGTGACATTTGTTAGTGGTCCCCTCAGCATGGTGTCGGCACTGTTCCCATGCAAGTCTCGTCTTTACATCATCTTCCTGCGCTGCAGAGAGTAAGTTTAATGATGTTTAATGCCAGGAGATTGGTTCATATCTGCTGTAGGCCTGGCCCAAACAGCTGCGGATCCTAAATGCACTGTTGCTGAGAAAATGCTGATTCTGGCCCGCTCGCCGTAGCTGTTGAGCCTGTCCTGCAGATACATTATATTCCTTATCATACTATAATAGTTTCCGTTTTCTTGTCCATCGTCCGTATGTTAACCCCAACATATTCATTTATTATGCAGGAACAGGTACAGGATGGTTGGAGCGGTCTTGGCAGCCTGAAGCCAGCAGATGTTGGTGAAGACGGCGATGGCGAGTGGCCCCTTGGTGGCGCTCCCGCTCCTGGCATGAGAGCAGTTGTTCTGGCCTAACACGTTTAGGGTTTAGGGTTTAGGGGCCGCCTTGCCACCAGGAATCGCCTGTGGCAAGAAGGATGGGAAAATGCAGCCAAAATGTGAATGTCCTTCTGAGCAGTGCCTGTAAAGGCGAAAATATGGACAGCTCCTTTCTTGCTTTCGAAAGCATTATCTGGGGGTTATATAGAGATAATACCGCAAAAATGGAGAATCAGATGGAAAAGAAAATGGAAAATGAAATGGAAGCTGGGATTATTGTGGGTTATATAGGGATTATATTGTGGTCATATTTCCACTTGGCTCTTCGTCTGAGCTCAACATTCATAAACCCCCCTAGATGTGGAGACTTTTGGGGGGGAGTAAGGTCAGGGGTCATAGGCTACTTTAAAGGCAAAGGTGACTTTGTGTCCGAAAAGCCCCAGAATTAAATACAATAGTTGCAGCCCTCAAAAAGCAGGAATGTTTTGAAGTTTAGACTTAAGGGTGTATGAATCCTGAAGAGTCCAAATCCTCAAACTGAAATTCCATTTGGGGTAATTATTTCTCATTCTTCAGATTACGGGGAGGCCCTTATTGTTGAAGAGATGGGGTTGTTCAAAATCAAAGGGTGCTCCGTATGTAATCTTTTGTTACCCATCATTCTAAGTAGGAACGCCAACTTCGATAAGCTCTGATGAGTCCTGTCTCCGCACCTCGCAGGCAACGGTCTCTACTTCGTGAGGTCCCCTCACAATCCTCATCCTGCTGATCCTTCTCCTCATCCTTATCCTTGTCCTCCGATTTCCGAGCCCAGCTCTTGGCAGCTGTGATCTTGTGCTCAACATATTCTGTTGCAGCCGCGGTGCTGTGCGACACGTTGCTTTGGCAGAATGTCGCATTTCACAGCGGTCTTGGCCAGATTTCAGGGTATGAACAAGTCACAATTTTGCTCCTGCGATTCAACTGGTCCATAAATGGTCAGATATGGTCAGCCCAACCTGTTTATGTACAGGCTCTCAGCAAAAAAGCCTGTCGCAAAAGCTCTTCCGAGAAACATACAACCTGCGTGTTTCATGCTGGTTCTTCCGAAATCTAGCCGCCAACATGAAACTCAGCATAATCATGACTAATCATGCACATAATTAGCCCACCCCCAACCAGCGAGAAATCTAGACGAACCCGACGGCATAATCATCATTTATCATGAACATAATCCGCCCACCCCCAATCAGCCCCCCACACCCCACTCCAACATGCCATCCGAAAACCGTGAACTTTACAGACTTCATCTCCAACCCTCTCAACCTTTCGTTAATGCAAGAAACGGATAAAGGTTGCTGAGACCTCAGGGTGATGCGTGGCGCATGAGTTAAGTCAGTGGCGCAGCCAACCGCTGCTAAACATCAAAGCGCATACAGAGCAAACAGGAGCCTCACTCCCAACCTGTCCTGCGCGACAGTGCTCGCGCTGGATGGGCATGGCCTCAAGCAAAACATGTACGAGATTGTACGAATATCTTCTGAGTGCTACACAGCCCCTGCCGGCCAAAACGAAGAAATTACCGATCTCACACGCACGTCCTCTGTTCAAACACCTTTCTCAAGTCATCCATTCAGGCTCTCTTGCTTCCTGGCCCCTGCCTCATTATCGATCCTCCGTGCACTTTTATGCACACTTCAACACAAAACAAATCGACACGGGGCGCATCAACGTGTGACAAGTATTTTGAGCTTCCCATATGCAATATGCCTTTAGAGGCTCCAAATGCCTTAGGTTTGAAACACTTGAAATTGTTCTGAGGAATTGTGTTCATCTGAAGCTATTTGCATGGTCCAACCCGCTGCTGCAGCTCAGCATGTTACCGAATTTCTGCACTGCTCCAGACACGCTCTGCCAACTAGTGTTCACAGGTCTCCAGTCTGGCAGATTTCTCCAGCTGAAGATGCGGTATTTGAATGAAGGCAGAGAATCTACGGCTGCTCGGAGGTTCCTAGCCGGTGAACGAGCAACAGTTGAGCTCTTCCGAGGCCCAACGCTTTCATGTCAAAGCTTGCAGCTTGGAGCTTGTGAAACAATTATAATTTTGCGAAGGAGGCGGGGAAACGACCAGAATATTTCACACAAGCAGATCCCGCGACTGCATCAATGATTGTTGTCGCAAATAAAACCCCAATGCTTCTCACCACACGAACGGACGGCTGCAGTTCCAAGCCTCACCGCCGGACAAATACCGCCGAGAGCGACTCACCTGTCCGACAAACAAAAAGAAAAGGCTCAGCGTAAAGGCCTAAGTTCGCAAAGACGGCCTCAGTGGAAGGGCAACGATACAAACTTGTCTGACATGCCTGACATTGGCATTTCATGCACTGTCCAAGCTCTTCAACTTATCTTGTGTAATCTGGCGTATAAATGCTGGGCGTCTCCACCCGTGCCGGCACTGTCGGCATGGCGCCTTGTCCTGACGCTGAGAACCGACACTACTAGCACAATCGCCCCGCCACCACCCTATAACAATCTATCCCAATCATCAGCGGCAGCCACGAGAGCGAAAGTAACTAAAACACTTGCGGCGACGAACTCCAAAAGATTGATTTGACGACATCAATCTGCCTCGTTCACGGAAAAGCACTAGGACTCGCAACTAACAAACATCATATTGCAGCCTTGTGCTGGGGTATTCTGCACGGCTGCAGTCACAGTTTGGCAGTGAATGCAAAAGGCTCCTTGGCCAGGCACCGCCCAGCTTTGCAATCATGGATCCCTGTATAAGTCTGAGCAGAATCAGCCGCCGAAATGAAACTCGCGGGCCAGCAAGAGGCGATGGCTTTGGAATTACAACTTGCAAACCACTGTGCAAACTCGGCCCTTTTCAGCTTCCCAAATGGTCTGCTGTGGGTAAGGTCTGTGGCGTCTTGGCTCAGCTCTATGTGGGCTTCAGCAACGGCTGCATAGACATCGCTATACGCACCTTCCTGGATAAAATTCCAGCTGACAATGAGACTGCTGCCAAGGCAGTGACAAAATTCAGAGTCCAACATGTGACAACGCGTCACTGTCTGCAGGTCCCATTCAGGCTTCGTGATTCGTGCAGTTGTGGAAGCTCTTGCAGCTGCCATGCACAAAATCAATTGCTGCAATTGTGGCAGAACCCTGAGTGGAACAGGTTGTATGCTAAAAGAAGAGGCTTGAGACATGTTTCGATAGCTCACGGAAAACCATCATTGTCGCCTCACTCCTCCTTGATGACGCCAACGATGTCCTGTCAGCTTCAGATGTCTAGGCAGACTTGCTACCAAATGGTGATGGCCGAAGCATCTAGGCCCCGCGTATGAGACACGAGTGGTATTCGTTGGGCACTCGCATGTACCAAATTCAACAATGCGTGTTCCCCATAAAGCAATGAGTCACGGGGGTCCACGCTCTCACCAGCTGGACCGTACACTGGCTAACAGCACACACATCGCTTTTACATTGACACGGGCACGCAAGCATTCTTGAGCTGGGGGGGGGGTGGGAGGATATATGAGAAACCGAGCCACCTCGTCCCGGTAAATCTGGTACTCTTCTTCATCCAGCTTGATCTGTACAGCAATATGCAAAGCTGCTGCCTCCGAGCAAAGCCGCCATGCCAATTGAGTGCATGACCTCAGTTCCCCCGTATCGAGGGATAACCACGATGTCTCCAACCTGCAAAGCAACTCCGCGCATACCCAAGACGGAACCTCACTCCTGGCAATGGTTCAACCTTGGTCTGCATCGGGATGATCTCGCCCTGCTGATTTCTTCGCCCGAGTCCGACAGCCAAAACCTTTGCCTTGCACGGGAATCTCAAGTGCTGTGCTTGAGGTGCGAGTTAAGCTACTAGGGTTGCTTTTAGCGCGCCTGATTCATCTCCTGTTTGGCGGAGTCAGGCAGCAAAATTCCACCAGCAGACTTGGCTTCCGCCTTGGCTGGTCGGATGATGCACTCTTGGGCAGCAAATTGAAGACATGACGTATCCATGGGAAACAATGCATGACGCTTCATGTCCACACATTTCCTGGGCTAAGGGCCTTGAGCTTCTGTACCAAGATGCCTTGGCTCTTCAGGGCTGGTTGCCAGTCCACGCATACATGTTGCATGAGAGGCTTATCTTGCAGTGGCAGGTGGAACAACTCACAATCAGTTTCGTGTTATTCCAGCCAGCATGTGTCAGGGTAGCCGTCCCCGGTCTGGGATGAGCTGCAGAAAAGTTACGATCTGCCAAAGGCATGAATCGCTTGAATGCCTGGGCCATGGCGGTTCCTGGACAGCACAACAGCACAGAAGCCAAGCCTTGCGTCAAGCTAAGACAACAAACATGATAATGATATCCGATATCCTCTATTCTACGAATATATATATATATATGTGTGTTATATATATATAAGATTTTATAAGTATATCACAACACTTCAGCAAGCATTGAGCGGCCCAATGTTGGGGGAGACGGATCTTTACATGCTAAGAACCGGAGGTTTGGCAACCTTGGAACCCAGCTAGCTTTTCACCACGTCGCAGCCTGGATGCTCTACCAAACCAAGACTGGATCCAATCCACCCTTTCACCGTGTCTTGGGCGTGCCAACGTGCAGTCCAAAGTTGCGAAAGAATAGCCATTAAGTCAAGTCTCCACGGTCGAAGATGATTCAGCTGCTGGTAGGCTTGGGCCCGATGTGCTGCAGCGGTGACATCACACTACTCGACAGATATAGAGCGAGTGTACAACGATAACCAAAACCTCTCTCAGACGTTACAGCATGAGTTTGTTTTTGACCTGCTCAGCTCACACACGGGTGTCGAACAGTCTGCAGGCTTCACCGCCAAACGGTTCAATAAACGCAAACATTTCATTGAGCTTGTGTTCTCAAAGTGTGGAAGCAAATCGAGTCAAGCCCACCACACCGCAGCTACAAACCTGCTGAGAAAGCAATCTGTGTCCAACACCAGTTTCATACTGGATCGCTATCTGTCTCAGACAAACCTTGTGCAGATCCAGAAGCTGAAGGCCTCAGCCCAGGCGAACTTTGGCGGAGCTTGATACGACTTGCTCCAGCAGCACAGCCACCACATCTGCAACACTGAGCTCAAAGCGATTGGCACCTCAGACAGTGCTAGCACGGCACGTTGTGAGCTCAGCTTCTGATTCTGGAAGGCCGGCAAGCAGGTGCTAGGAAAGCACAGGGGTTGGCAGGTGAGTGGCGAGAGCAAAGGCTGGTAGTACGATCCCAGCGCAATGCAGAAGCTGTGACAGAAACTCCTCAGAGAACATGAGGGCACAACCGTGAGAAGGCCAGTCATGTAGAGCATCGAAGGCCTGATCAAAAGCCATGCTGCTACTGTAGGAGCAAGGACAGATGTCTCGGTTCTTATGCGTTCTCCCAGTTCAAGAACTCTGCATCTCTGAGACCCTGGCGTCTCGATATACTCAAGGTCAGGATGAGATGGCCTGAGATGCTCACGTGCAGCATAGACGAAGTCTTGCAGCTGCTTTTGGAGGTCGCGACGATGCTGGCTTGAACTCCTTCTTCACCACCTTTAGATCTGCAGTTTGCATGTTCCACAATGTTCAAGTCTGCCCGTAGCCGCACCGTGGCTGTTGCTTTGAGACAGCTTTTACCCTTTCAGATGTCTGGAAACTTGCATGTGCTGTGGTCGAGGCGGGTCCAGCAAAGTTGCGCACACACTGCTGCTGCCTGAGGAGAGGAGGATTCGAAAGGATCTAAAGCCAGAGACCCTCAGGAAGAGACGGCATGGTGGCCGCGGGAGTCCGCAGAAGCGCCGTCTCGCGGCTGGCAACCTCAGGCACGGCCAAGCCACGTTGAGCATTCTTTCTCACCTCCTGTGCTCACTGCACAGCTCTCCTGAGGATTCAGCACGAAGCGCCTGCCTCAGCATGATCACCTTGGGCTACGTATTCTCAGGGAGTTGTTGCGCTACCCTGGACTGGCTTGCGACAGCTTAGATAAGAGCAGAGTCCAAGCTGTCGCAGCCGATGGTCGGGCGTATGAGTCTCCGGAACTTGAGCTTCAAAGATTTGCATCGTGTGAACAAGATGATCACCCGTCGTCTGCAGAACAAAAGTGCCCTAGCCACCGCGTCCATGCACGCTCACCAATGCAAAGCCAGCCCTTTTCGTCTCGCCATACTGCCCGCATCTGCGCAGATGTTAAGCATGATATGTATGCTGTTACTTTGTCTCCTAATTCAATGCTTCGTGACGCGAGATGTAGCCACGATGGCCTTTGGCCAGTCCCGGAGCAAAGCACATCACCTGGGAAGTCTCAACATTTCACAAGCAATTTGAAATGAATCAAGGGAATTGGTTTGCTACAGGGCTTGGGGCACCACAAGGAGCCCCACCAGCAGGCTGAAGCCCAGCGCCATCACCGCAAAGGCAAAGACGGCCTCTCTTGTACTGGTGTACTGGTTTGTCGCTACAAACTTCAAATAACCATTGTACAACCCTTACATAGCCCTACTACATATACCCACAAAAGAACACAACACAAACAATTTTGAGCAACTCCCCGGTGAGGTTGGCACGCGCTGTACGAACAGGACCCAGGTCTCAGCGTTGCTTTCCGGGCTGGCCTGGGACCCGGCTTGGAGGAGTTTCTACAGTATAGGATTGCGAGCATGAGCATCAACCCTGTAGATCCTTCTGGATGTATGTTGGGCTTTGCCAATTGCAACGGTTTGGGTTTGGACGGAGTCTTATAATTCCATCTTTTTAGGAATACACGCTTCGAACATGACGTCCACATCCAAGATTGATGTTGGCCACTGAAGGCATGGAAAAATTTTGGTTTGTTTGATTGCCGCATAATGGACAACTGAAGAGATGGGAAGGTTGGAGTTCTGTCACTCTCTGTTGGCATTGGAATTCAATTCCACCATCGTAGCAAACTGCATGGGTTGGAGGCCAGAACTGTTACCAAGTGCTATCCACCAACCAGCCAGATCTGGACCTGACCACTGGACTTCAGCAAGCCGCGCAGCCCTCTACGCATCCTTACATCCAAAACCATGCCCCAGCCAGCACAGTTTTCTTACTACTGCGGTAGGACGAAAGTTCGACGCCACTAGCAAGCAGTTCTCCCCCATAGAGTCCTCCACTTTGCATTTTGGGGGCTCCGCTGGTACTTGAAAGCAATATTCATTTTGAAAACATATTAATTTACTGCGCAACATGGCCCACTCTGCGCACTCTTTTTCATTTTCGGCATGTTGAGCCTCCTCACAAGCCCCGAGGCCCGAGCAGGTCGAAACTTTATTCCTGGCGATGCCACACGTTGACCCAAAATGAATACCTGCGAGGCATGATGACGGCTGCAGCCCTTTCACCTCCAAAGGTTACCTCTGTGTCCTCCAGGTCAGCATGCCATCAGGTGTCTTACAGCGTGTCAGGCGTCCATTGGTGTCAATCTTGCTGGAGCTGGCGGCTGCCCATGATGTTGGCCTGCAGCTGACGCTTGATTCGTCCGATCAGGCAATCACGAGGGCCTTTAGACGCGTGTCCGTGAACGTGCACCCTGACAAGTCGACAAGGGTGGCTTGGCAGCAGACGCCCAGCGCCTGAACGCTGGACGGGGCCAGTGGCGGGCCGCGGCAAAGCAGCCGAAGGTCAAAGGCCGTCCGGCTCAGCGTGCCGCGCATGCACAAGACAGCGTTGCATATCCAGTGGCAACGTCCGTGCGCAGTCGTTGGCCGTCCTCCTCACCTAACACAGCTGGCCCTCAACAGACGCTGCAGCCGTGCGGCAACGGTTCCGCGCCTTTGCTGCAAGCCATGTGGCGCAATGGACGGCGAAGCACTGGGTGGCCACAATGGAGGCAAACGCCAGCGGGATTGTGCACGTGCACATGATGTTGCAGTTTGCTCACGCCCAAACCTGTGGGTCCAGTCGCTTCATGTTGGAAGGCAAACGTCCGAATGCCAGCACGCTGGACTACCTCACGGAAGGGCTTTGCCGTAAGAAGTTACAGCAGCGCAGGGCTGTGTGTCTCAAGGAACTACGAGACATGCTGGACCAAGGCCATGCTCTCACTCTCATAGGCTTGTAAGAACTGCCGGCCTGCACATATTGGACAACAGCAAATATTTTGTCATTCATTTGTCATTTCGCTGTCATTGGTGGCTGTCATTTTGTTGTCATTTTTTGCCATCTATCTACCCCACCTGATTTTCCGTGTCAGGCTTTTGGGTAATTATTCGCGATCCACGTTGGATTTCAATAAACGCACATCTTTTGGGTTTCCCATTTCCAAATGGCCAATTGCCTAGGACCTAGGCAAATGGCCAAAGGCGCTCTGGAAGCAACGCAAGCTGACGTCGGACAAGTACGAGGAGTACTTGTACCTGACACGGGACGGCGTCCTGGCCCGGAAGCGCAACCTGGATGCTGTTCGTGAGCACGAAGTGGAGGCTGTGGAGGCAGCTCTCATTGAAGCCAATCAACACCAAGCGCCTCAGGAGCAACCGTGCGCTCTACCAGCCCCTCCCAGAAGCGCCTGTAGCGAGAGCCTGGCTGGCCACCTTGCGTGAAGACCGCCTGCGCTACCCCTTGCTGGTTGTGCTTGGCGCCTTGGCACACGGGTAAGACGGAATGGGTCAGGTCCTTGCTCAAGCAGCCCTTGGAACTCAAGGTCGGCAACCTAGAGGTTTTCCAAGAGGCCATGCGAAGCTTCAATCGCCAGGCGCACGACGGCATCATCCTAGATGATGTTCGCAACCTCGCCCTCCTTGCGGAGCAGCAGGAAAAGCTACGGGGAAAGTATGATGCTCGGGTTGAGTTCGCAACCTCCTGGGACTACAGCAAGTACCTTTTTGCGGTTCCCATTACTGTCAGCATCAACCACAGCACCCGTAACATCGACTTCCTGTGCACTCCCATGACTGGCTGAAGCACCCAAAGAACCGCGTGCTCGTAAACTTTCCAGACATCCTTGGCCAGATTCAGAAAGCAACTTGCAGGCAGAAAAGTCGCTCCGCAGCCTTGTCCTGCACGTGCGGTTTTAGTTTAGACCTTTACTGGGTAGGGTAGGAAACAGCACGCGGTTTGCGTGGTTGGGCCGCTTGAAACGCATGTCCTGCCTCAACTGCCTCAGCACAATGAAGGCTTCGCTGGCCTGGCAGCCCCAGACGGCGTGAAGGGGGCAGCTCCTTCATGGGTGGTTTGGCTGCCTCAGACGCCGTGGGAGGCAAGACTCCGTTTGGGTGGTTTGGCCGCAAATGGCTTCGGTGTCTCAGCGCTGCGCAACTGCGGGAGAAGTTGGCGCTGTCCATTGATGACGTCATCCTCTCCACTCCACCCAGAGATGCCACGGGCAGGACGAGCTATTGCGCGCACGGTGACAGGCACATGTGGCGCAGTCAAGGTGAGGCAGGGCTCGAGAAGCTGGCAGGCCAGGATCCCTATCCTCAGCAAAGGGCATCAATCGGAGCGGCCTTTTGCAAGGGGGGTTCAGCATTAACACGCTCCACCAAGCCCGGAAGTTGCTGCATGGTGCCGGACGATGGCTGACGGCAAGCTCACCCAGGCCATTCAGGCTTTGATTCCGGTGAAGCCGCGCGGCCGTGGAAGATTCTTTGCGACAACAAGAGATTCTTGCATACGACGGCGACCAAGCACGCTATGGCTGCCCAAGGCATCACAATGTGGCACGTGCCGGACCTCAGCCCTGTGGAGAATGTGGGCGTGGCTGCGCAAACGCCTCCACGCACTGGACCGGGAAGACCTCAGGCGTAGAAAACCTCCCATCGGTGTGACTGCGCTTAAGGCCCGCATTCACTCCGTGCTGGCATCCCACAAAACTCGGCCGCACTGCTGCAGGATTCAGGGCGACATGCAAGGAGGTCCTGGCCAAAACCGGCGGCATGGCGAGAAGCCATCAGGAACGCGTATCACCCCATGTGCGTACTGGTTGGAGTGCTACACGGCAAATGACGCTGCGGTAGGACGAAAGTTCGACCCACTAGTTTCGTGAGGCCTTGGCCGCTAGCAAACACCTTCTCCCCGATAGACTCCTCCACTCAGCATTTTGGGGGCTCCGCTGGTACCTGAAAGTAATCTCAATCTTGAAAAGCATATTACTTTACTGCGCATCATGGCCCACTCTGCGTAAACTTTTTCTTTTTCGGGCTGTTGAGACTCCTCATGAGGTCCTAGGGGGTTGACTATTACTGGCGATATATTGTTACTATTCGTATTGCGATCCTTTTTACTCATACCTGTTTATTTATCAACCGTGCACAAGATGGCCGATACATGCATAAAATCTCAGTCATTTGGCTCCCTAGCTACAAACAAGACGAGCATGGAAGTGTCTCTGCTCAAGTACATTCGGGAGTTTCCTTAAACAGGTGGACCCAAAAATACAAAAATAGACCACCAAATACTATTATCCTTACTGTTGGGACCCCAGGGGTTCTGGGTCAAGGGTTTAGGCGAATTTTGGGAAACCCTAATTCCCATTGACATTCCATGTTCTTTTCCATTGGGTTCTCCGTTGTTAACCCTAACTTTGGGAAACCCTAATCCCTATAAACCTCTATATTACCCCCAGCTTCCATTTAATTTTCCGTGTTCTTTTCCATTCCATTTTCGCAGGTAACCCAAAACCCTTAACCCCTCCGGACCCTAAACCGATCCAGGTCCCGAGACTAGGAGGTGGTTTGCCAATTGGCTCTTTTTTTTTCGGTTTCCAGACAGGGCAGGGGGTGGTTCGGCTGGTCGGGCTCAAGGCCGAAAACACGGAGGTGGCCTGGGGGGTTTGTCGGGGGCCAGCACCAGGGCAGGGGGGGTTGCTCTCTTGACTTGACCACACTTGCCGAGGCGGCGTCGTGTAAGCAAACAAATTAGGGAAGAATTGGTAGTTTCCCTAAATAGGGAGACGCCAATATAGATCTCAAAATACTATAATCCTTATTATAGGGACCTCCAAAATGGTACCCCTAATTTTGGGAAAGTACCAATTGAAAGATTAAAGGACCAGGGCCCTAAACCCTAAACCCTTCACGTTCGCTGGGCTGCCCGGCCGGCGCTTCCACTGCTAGAGGCGGCATCGCCTACTACAGAGATTATATAGGGGTGACATAGGCTTAAGATGGGGTTATACAAGGAAGTATATTTGCTGACATGGTTTGCAAAGTGTAAGTTCCGATGACAATCTTCCTAGAGTTGACAACAAATACTCTAATCCTTACCATTAAGACCCTAAACCCTAAACCCTAAATCCTATAACCCTATAACCCTATAACCCTAAACCCTATAACCCTATAACCCTATAACCCTAAACCCTAATCTTGGGAAACCCTAAGACGGCAAGTGCAGCCCGGCCTCGCCCTGGGGAACACTCAATGGAAGAGAGTCGTACACTGATCTGACCCCAGCCAAGACCTAGGCTTGTGATATGGGGGTTTCCCAAAAGTAGGGGTACCTTTAAAGCGGGATATAGGGGTTATGTAGGGAT